TTTTAGCTGCAACCTGGGGGCTGGGCTCACGAAGCAGGATTTTGTTTTTCTGCTTCGCCTGCTAACGTTAGGCTTAGTTCAATGTTACTCGATTCTTTGTCTTACAATGGTGGATTACTTTTTACTGAGACACATCACCATAGTAACTTAATCGACATGCTTGAAGCAGGTTAAGTTTGGGATTTAGGCTCATCAACAGTTCTTAGACCAATCAAGGCCAAACTTCTTCGTTATTTAGCTGGTTGATGTTTCTGCCATGTTCAGAGTTGGATAACTGTAGATACTTTGCAATTGAATGCATGTTATTACACTTCCATATGCTCACAATCCCCAAAATTAGCAACTCAGTGTGCCTTACCAAAGAAATCCAGCCTATATTTATCTCTCTTCAACACTGTCATGGAGTAGCTTGACTGTATTGATATCACTCAAGACAACACCTTGTGAACTCTGCTTCTGCTGTAAAGTCAACACATACGGCAAGTATGATAGGGTAAAGTAGCATTTTGCACTAAGAGAAACTTCAGGCTACAGTAGCTAGCAGTGCAGTCTACGCCATTAACTTGGCTTACTAGCCATGGCAAAATGCCAGAAGCTGTGTCAAAACCTTGATTACGCCACAGTCACCCTGGACTATCAAACTGGACTACATTTCCTTCTCCAATTGTGATGCTCTGTAAACCTTTTCCAACCTAAAACTACCAACTGTAGTTAAGAAAGAGCACAGAACATGGATAGATCAAGCACTGCAACATTTACATAATTAGTAGTCTTATCCAGAGTGACTAAACATTTCATGCCAAATTATCGGTTGTAACTACTACCGGTAATTCCAATATTCATTCACTGATAATAATAATAATTAAATTTCCTGGTTATCTGTGAATAATATTGGCAGCACAGCAAAACATTTCCTCAATCTGCTTTACCCCTGTATCCAGCACTAGTCTATAAGCTCAATTTTCGCTATGTTTGGCTCACTTTAGTAAGGCTTTGGGAAAGTAAGTGCATGACACCAGATGTTGTGGAGCCACAAAGTGCCCTAAAGGGTGGAACAGGGAGTGCTTGGACTGCCTGAGAAGCAGTGTGCTCTACTTCCACTCGCGGACAATATGAGTGTTCCTGGACCTCCTCACCTCCCTCACCATATGGCCTGCACTGCTGCAGGAGCCCTGCCGAGCCTCACATTCCCCACTGTATCCATAGCTCTGCCGGCCTGGGGCTGCAAACACCCCTCCCATCCTTCCCTCAGCTGCGTGAGGGCCTTCTAATAGGAAATTAAAGTGAGGAGAACAGCTTTGCTGTTTGAGTAGATATGATGTCCAGCGTGGTGTTGGTTCAAATTTCTATACTGTTGGCGTCATGCCGATTTTTCAAGTTTTAGTGTATCGATTGATAACAATCAATACATGATTTTAACTTTTTATTCCCTGTTGCCAAGCAGTTTGATTTCAGTTTTTTTTATAATTCTAGATTCTGCACTTGACAGGTGTCATGTTATGAAGCTACTTATTACTTAACCAGCTAATTAGCTTAGTTTGAATTAACCCTGAAATATCTGTCTCATGAAAGACAATCACTTTTTACTGGGCTCCATTGCAACTGTTGCTGCATGCTTAACCTGCTCCAGGGCAGATTAAAGTCAGGATTTTGGATCACAAACAGCTCTTGGATCAATCAAGGCCAAGCTTCTGACCAGTCAAGCCAGGCCTGCTGACGGTGATGGACCCCTCCGGTCCTTTTCGTGGTTTGGTCTTCATGATGTTTGTCCCGTCAATCATGTGAAAACTATCTAAATCATACCATATGGAAATTGTGAATACGAACCAATTATTACTCCAGTAAGCACTAACATGGTTACAGTTGAGGCAGCATTACTTTTTAGCATTGGAAATGATTTACGTCCTAAATATTTACAGGATGAATCTTTTCTCTCCTTTGAAAAATAAGCCACTTGACTCCTACTCATGTTTCCTGCACCTGGCTGTTCGTCATAAACTTTACACTTTCATGTGCATACATACAAAAAATAATCAAAACCTGAGTTAACCCTTCAAGCAGTCCATACAGGCCCAAGGAAGACACTTTATGTCATAAAAATAAGTGAAAAAAAAACTGACTTGAAAAAACTGAATAAGAAATAAAATGTGAAATGTTTTCAAACGCTAACAATATTAAGACAAGACTTGAAACAACTGTGCATGAAGACATTTCACCTGTCCACTCACAAGCAACTGGTATTAAAAAAAAAACATCACAGAGACATTCTGCTTGATTACTGGTATAAAACAAGCGCATGTCAGCCTAATCTGCTGATATTTTGAGTTCAGTATTACATGTTGCATGTCACTGAGCCCTAATATCAACAATACACTCAAACAGAAAAAAATGCAGAAAAAGGAAAGTTTGAAAAGGATAACAAAGAAAAACAGGTCACCGCTGTGATCTCCTCATTCAGAATTTTTATTTTTATTTTTATCATTTTATCGAGTTGAATGTTAAGATCAAAAAGAGACAGAGAAATATCTTTATCTTACTTTCGTTTCCTGCCCAAAATTAAAATGAAGAGTTAAATTAAGACTGATTGCTAGGTCAATATTATTTTTATTATTATTAATAATAATTTATGTTTACTTTGTTTACTATTCTAATTTCACACACTAATTTCAATGTTTCCCCCCCTTTTACATTTTATTCTGAAAAAAATCTTAATCCGGTCCTGGTCTTAACTGGGTCTCTCTTCCTGGACACCGTACATCAGTAGAGCAGTCAGAGCTAAAACTATAAACACACAATAAATTTCTTTTCTCTTTTATAATTTTCATTTAAGCTATTTTTTGTGTTTCTGTGAAAAACAGACAATTTGTTCTTTAAGGTATTGCTAAGGTCATAATTCAAGTGAGTAAGTTTCATGTGAGCACATAAGTAAGAGAAAAACGTTTTTTTTTTCTCATATTTAGGCCTTCATGCTTTCTAGAGATAAACAAGTGGACTTAAGGTGGGAATGGTTGAGAACCTCTATCATAAACAACAAAAATAAAAACAAAAAGGAATTTAATGCCTTGTGAGACACGGTCCAGGACTTGACAGCTAACTACAGTGTATGTCATTAGCTGGGTGGTTTTATTTGGAAATAAGTGTTCAAAATATGAAAAAATAAAAAGTTTTGTTTCTGAGAGTATGATTTTAGACTGGTTAACACATTTTAGAGTTTATGATTCCTATTGAAGAGAATACAATAAAATAGAACAACAGTCCAATCAAAATAAGCTCCATCAGGATTTTAACTACTCAGAAAGCAAAGATTCATTTACTTCATTAATTTGAAACTGCAATAATGTGATATATTAGAAAATTATTGTGATATTGAATTGTGTTCTCAATACCTTTCAGCACAAAGTAGGTTACAGCTGGTGTCTAACTGCTAATACACCTAACCAATCAAAGTCTGGCCTAAAAAACCTCAAGTTTCTCAGTTGCACGGGCAACAAACCCAGTGCCCGCCAGTTCTGCTTCAGCCTCTCATTCCCTTGAATATCCGTTTCCGTCCCTGTCTTTCTATTTGTATCTCTGCCCCCCCGTATACTCCAACCACTCCAGAGAGGATTCAGTCATGTGAAGGAGAGTGAGGGCCACCACAGTATAGGCTACAGCTGCTCTATTTTTACAGCAGGATGCAGTGGGAGAGGAGTGAGGACAAGGTCGCCCCTTGCTTTAGGGAGATGGAGATTTTCTGTAATGAGATGTGGGCCCTGCTAGTGGAGCACGTTTCATCTGCGGCTATTGGAGAAGTCCAGACTTTTCCGGCTGTGTTTGATCAGGGCCCGTGTCTATGGAAATAGCAAGACTGCAAATAAACCGTATGAACAGCGGTAGGCCTCAGCAGGACGTTTCGAAATCAAAACCTGACAAAGAAAGCCGCAGGTTGTAGTTTGAATTCTGCAACGTCTTTTCTGGACCAGCCTGTGGAAGGCAAAAGCTGAGCCCACAGTGGAAAATAGGCTCTGACACTAACCAAATGCCACACAGAGAAACAGACGCGCACATCATTTCTTTTGCATCCTAAGATGAAATGGGAACAAATAACATAATCGGGCCACACATCACGGCTGAAGGGTCCTGTGCCAGTAAGTCACTAATGTTGGTGATAAAAGCCGACATGAATGTGACAAAACTGACTTAGGTTTAAAGTCCTTTTCAAAGGACAAACTCTCAGCAGGATGCACTGTTTCTCTCTCCTTTCTTTTGTGCTCCTTTTTCATTAAATGGACGGTAGGAATGGACAACAGCATTAGACGCTTATCAGTCCAATTCCAGCTTTGCATAACTGTGCAGGACATAATTAAAGAGCAAACTTGCCTTTATACATAGGGTGGACAAAATAACAGAAACAAAACATCAAACTTGATATATCTCAGTGCAACATGAGGCGAATAACAGAGTTCCAGGTCAGTTCCGAATTGCAAATGCATCTGTGGAAAAACTGCAAAGTAAGGTGTCTTCACAGCTTGCTGCTGTGCCTGATATACTCGTACCAACACAACACACACTATGATAATGTGATAATGGTCCAGCACCCAAAAATAATATTTGGTCAGTGGCAGTCTTATAGTGGTCCCTTTCTATTGATAGACAGGGTAAAACTGGGCTGCCACAGATACAGTCAGTAATTGTGAACCAACAAAGCGCACTTATATGCAGAGGCGAGTAGAGTAGCCAAAACTAGTACGCTACTGTTACTTTATTCATTCAGTTTGTGTCATAAACTACCTATTTAAACAAGAAAATACATGAATAGGAAGTCACGCATCAGTCATGCTTCATCATCACTCTGAATGAACAAACAATAGCTTTGTTTCCATCCAAAGGTTTTTTTTGACAACATTTCAATGCCTCAAAAATGCGGACTACGGAAACATAAGATGGTGGTAATATTTTATGATTGTCAACTAAAATTTTCTCCATTCAACTTGTTTTCTGACATTTGCTGATACCTGAACTTTTGACCTACAAAAAAAAACCTACAGTGGAAACTTTTTTTCAGGAAAAATAATGCATTCATGCATAAATACAGTGTTGTGACAGATTTCCCTCTGCCTTACACAAAACATAAATAAACAGAATTACCATGAAGGAGAGGTCTAGTTAGACTCTTGAGGGGATGAGAGCATTTCTAAAAGAAATGCTGCCACTTTTACTGTCTACTAATTTTCATGATTGTCTTCTAACTGTTATCTATAGTTTTTGTGATGCCTTTACAGTGAAATGGCAGAGAAAGAATGCTGTTGGTCTTTTTCTGTTGGGAGATTTTCACAATGACTGTTTCTGCTGTTTTCTTCAGTTCAATCTGAGTTGGGTGGGACTGATTTGCTGCAGGGGACAGATTTTTCGACATTGTTTGAACAAGGCAGGTGTCTTTTACATTGTGTGAAAATGTCATGATGAATGGACCAATACAAATGCCCTATTTGTACTAGAATAGTCCAATAATGTAAGCTGTAAGGGAATCAACTGGCCAGTCTATATGGGATAAAACATTTGTGCAGTTCCCAAAATTACCTCAGGTGGCCTGAATCAAAACATCATAGCCCATACGTTCACTTAAAAATGAGAATTAAACCAACCAAACAAACAAACCACAAAAACAAACTTACAGTTAATACTAGACAGAACTGCATTAGACTAAAACAGTAGGTTCATTCAACTTAACAAATGTCAACCATCAGGACAGACATCTCACTGGCCTCTGAGAGGCACCTTCAGATATTTAATTTTTTTCTCCTTAAAATTAGCCTATCACCAAAAATACTGTAGATTATGGTAGTCCTGTGTTGATCGTGAAGTCTTTTAAAGCGAGTCTATTACCATGATTTGTTATTACATTAAGAAGAGGTTAATCTAAAAGTAAATAGGTAAAACTAAAAGGCAGACAAAAGAGAGACAGTGGCAGGTGAGCTACTATACACCACAAACACACCACAGAACTATACCAGCTCCTCTGTATCCCTGTCTCTACAGAAACTGTATACTGTGGGTTTCACAAAGAAGGGATTTATGGCAGAGCTGTATTCAAGGCCAACACACAAAGAAGGATAATCTATTGTAAAGAGCACAAAACCCGTAGCCCTCAGTAGTGGAAAAAAAGGTAATACGGTCTGATGAGTCATGTCTTACACTCTGTAATCATCAAATCACTGCACCTTTAACAAGAAAGTAGATTTGCTTCATTCCTTAAAAGAACTGGAGGATTTTTTCCTTTATCATTGGCCCCATGTCCTGCAGTTAAAGACCTAAATGATGCCATTCCAAATGAATTTGTACAGAAGGCTCTATTTATAAGGTACTTCAAACTGTGGCGTCTGCCACAGGTGTTGGTTTTGTTGGTTCAAGTTGTGTTTATGTGTTGACTGTGATTTATTGTCTTGGGCTGTGGGTTAGTTAGTGTGGGTTTGTGAGTCTACCATAGATAGAAGTATGGCTAAAAGTGACCATCCCTGCTATTATTACTGTTTCCCAGTGGCCTCTTCTGCTTTGTTCAATAAAAGAGCATTTCCTTGAACAGAAACAATGGCATCCTCTGGTTCATCTTCACTGAGGATGCCAAATATTAATCTACCCTTTGGTGTTTACACTTTATAGCAAGCAAAGAAAGAAATGACAGAAATAGATATGGACAGCAATTATAAGTATCAGTGCCAAATTTCTATAAATGCTTCTCTGATCAATAATCATTTGTTAGAAGGTCGATTACTGGACTGTCTAACGCTGTACAGATGCAAGAGTTACATGAAAGAAAGCAAAATGTTCATGAGTTACTCAAGTAAAACTTATAGAAGTCCAGTTAAATGAGAAAGGAGGCCAACCTACTCAGTGTTGGTTCTTTTTTCTTGCTAACATACTCAATCGGAGAAGCGTTTTTTTTTCTCTCACCAAGTAATTTTACACCATCAATTTGACTTCATTCCATTTCAGAGTGGGGAATAATGACCAAACCTTTTGTTCAGTACAATGTTGTATGATTACAGTACAAAGTGAATGGCACATAACTGAATAACAGTGATTGAGGGACAATGGTTCTATATTTATTTATTTTTTTATTTCCCAGATATAAATAGTCTGAATTGAGCAGAATGAAGGCCTTTATTGGATTGTGGCCAACTGTAAGAGTGGCAGAAACTTTTTCAGTGCAGAAAAGACAAATGTGGGGAAAGTGAATGACAAACTAATTCATAGAATTCATGAAAGTTTATGGGGTTTTTTTTAACTAGGCTGATGGAGGAAATCAACTGCATTATCATTGATTACAACCATCTGTTGTTTTAGCCAAGTCTAGCATGCGCCTCCTTTTTCATTAGCTTCTCTCTCATTCAAACTGCTTCGCATTTGCTCGCCTCTATCTCTTGCCTGTTTTCCTGATACAGACCACAGCTACACATGTTCCTCTCAAAATATTTAAGGCAGAAGTTATCAAAAATAGATTGATTTTCTCAACAGCTGCAAATGAAAACTTCGCAGTGACTGGAAATCGTGGCAATCGGATTCACAAACGAGCACTAACGGATTACACGCGGATAAAATTTAATCACAGTGTCATTTGTTTTAGAGTTTCAATTAGTCAGAGTGAAGGCAGGAGTTATGCACCAGCATTTTTTCAGCAGATCTGAAGTGAACAGTCCTTATGGAAAAAAGTGACTGGGACTCAGAGAACAGCTTAACAAATCATGGAACATTTCCTTATTTTTTTGAAAATAAAAGTCTGATACACTATGTAAACCTGAAATGTAAAGTATGGTTCATAAATACATTTTGGCAACACTTCACTGTAAAGCAGTGTTCATAAGGCTACCTGACACCTACTTAAGCTCATCATGACAACTGACTTAAACCTATATAAACATTTTAAAAGGCGTGTTCCAATAGGCATTCTCTGTTGTACAGCTGCTTCTGTCAACATTGATGTCAAGTCATGTGACATTGGCTGCTTCTGGGGGGGGTGACACAGTGTGTTATAACAAATGGCTTTGTAGGTTACAGGCAGATTTACTCACATTTTGTGCTGTTGTCTAGCACTAAAATGTGGCTGTCGCAATTTACTAAAAAGGAGCAACGGCTCTTAGTGCCTATAATAAGATGAAGGGATGATCGCTGCTCTCCTTCCCTCATGGCACGCGCATTTATAGCAGTTTCCCTCACAAGGTGCAAAATACTGGGAGGAGATTATTATAATGAAGCGCCAACTCCAATTTACCAAGCCTGACAGTACATACTGTACATACTTAACGCCTGAAAAAAGCTTCTTTTTGGTGCTAATGTGTTTGACGTTGTTGTTGCTGAGAGACAGAGAAAGAAGGGAGTTAATCAACACACATTTATTTATTTTCAACTTTGACAAAAAAAAATTGTGAACACCTGCACTTGTCATGCTATTCTTAATATAATTAAGGAAATAAAAAACTGAACCAAATGGTTTTCTGTCAGGTATGAGATAGAGACTGGATGCAAATGCAGAAAGGTTTTAATGATAGCCAAATGGCCAATAAAGCCAATAAAGAATTAAAGCCAGCAAACAGTACCGAAACAAGGAGCAGACAGCGTTTAAAAAAAAAAGTCCAGGGTCAATAAAATGTGGAAAAGGAAAAAGGCAAAAAAAAACCCTCAGAAACTCAGCTGGGTAGCAAGAGACTTCACAACCTGGGGAGGCGTGGAGAGGGTTTTTAAAGGGGAGAGTGAAATGATCTTCAGGTGTGAAAGGGAGTGAGAAGGAGGATGGGCAGAGTTGGTGATCAATAGGCCAATGAAGCCGAGCGCTGGAGAGTGGAAGGAGGCGAAGCCTTGGATGTGACAAAACTGGTATTTCCTAAACAAGTGTGTAGGGGTGGACAATATGACGATATATTATATGTAATCTTTTTTGTTATCGTGACACACTATCTGTTCTTTTTTCCCCATAGTTGTGGATATAACTGTAAATGTTTCGTTACAAAGGGATCAAAATTCATCTTGTTTAGAAGACTTTAGTGCAGCACAACATGTGAAATGATTGTATTTTGTGGTTCAGGGTAGCAGTTTTTAAGTGTGACACTGCTAGCATATGTTGTCTGTGTGGCAAAGTATTGCGTATCATGACAATATCTTTATGTATTATGATATACAATTGTTTTGAAATGGCTCAACCCTAACTGTGGCTATATTTTACACTCACCAATGTGTCTTAAGAGCAGGCTTTGTCTAAATAATGACTCAACCATTTTCATTCCAAACTATTGTGATACTCGTTGGCTCTGCGGTCCCTGCATTACTAACACTACTCATTACTGTGTTACTTTGTTCAAGCTGTGTCTTCTGTTACAGAAATGTCACAGTCATTGTTTGATGCACTATACAGAGCTAAGACGATGCGCTCACCATAAGGTCATTATAACAGTTCCCAATCAAGCAGGAAGCTTGAGAGATTTAACAATATCACACAAATTTTAAATGCACTCAGCATACAGCTCAAGTTTAGAAATCACCTACAAAAAGACCTAAAATTCTTGCAATCGAGCCTCTAACTATGCCTGTTCATTAAGGACGAGTCCTTTCCTGGCTGCTTCTTTTATACCCAAGTATGATTACATCACCTCTTTTAAAATGTTTTCTGAACATTTATCAGTGTTCCTAGACTAATATTACCCCTGTCCCAACTTTTTGTAGGCATCAATTTCAGTGTAAATTTGATGTGTGAATTTGATGAGATAAAACATTGAATTTCTTGTCTTTAAACTTTTATTTAAGCATAGGTCAAAGGTTAAAAAAACACTGCTTTCTGTTTTTATGTGCATTCTACCTACTGTCTGACCTTTTTTTTAAATTAAAATTTCTAAATCCAGCCCCTCGTGTATATCTGAGTGACATAAATAGTGATGATGTAACATAGCTTACATTTGATTTGGCAAGCTCTGCCATATTATCAGCATTATGTCACTGTGACAAACACTGAGCTAAAAGTCTGTGTCATTTCACCCCAGAAAGCGTCATGATACAACCTAATGTCAGAAAAAGTTAAGTTAAAGTATAGATGTTATGCCAAATGGCAAATATGACATTTATGACAAATGATGCCCATTGGAGTGTTTTCTAGGTGTTTATGTATGTCATTATGTCAGCCATTATGAAGGTGTCATGTAACCTTAAGAGCTGCCTTACAGTAAACTACATTTTTCACAAATAACTACATTATGTCTGCATATCACACATGCTGAAACATGTCCTGTTTCTTGCTGTCAGGAAGCAAATGTGTCACTTACAACTGAAAGCTTATTTTTTTCTGACATCCCTGAAGATTTCAGTCCAAACTTAACAGTTTGTTTCCTGCATTTCAGCCCAAAATGCTTTTTGAAATACATGATACAGGGTAATCAAAACAGAAGCCAATTATATGCAGTCATATGCAACAGACGTGGGCAAATGGCATGTTTTGTTGATTTTCTGAAGTGAAAATAAGTTAACACATTCTCTAGAGAACAAAACAAAACACAAAAGCTGGCCTGAACAAAAGTTATGGCACATTTTATATTTCACTTTTTTCCACAATGATAAACTCAGCAAATAGACAGAAATTATGCACTAAAATTTGCAGAAAAATGCCATGTTTATGTTTGGTCCATATAGAGGATGTGTTAACTTACTTATTTTGTCTGCTCTGTTTAGTGTATTGTATGTTATACATATGTGTACTCACCAAGACAAAGTTCCTGTATGCGTAACACACTCGGCAAAACAGTGATTCTAATTCTGATTTCTTGTAATTTGACTGGTTGTTCAGACTTTTGCAAGTGTATCAGTCGTAAAGACACAGTAAGAAACATGCCTGCTCAAATTCCACTATTTTTTATAAATTCATGGCTTATTCAATTGTAGAGATGTAAACAAAGATGTTCAGATTGTTTTGATGTGAAATAGAAATAAATTTCCGTGAGGAAGCTTTTAGAGGCATTAAACTCTTCGGTCATCTGGTTCCCCATCACCACCACTGTGAACAATTCTGACTATTCTGTCAGTTTCTTTAGACTATTAAAAAAGATGTTTCTTCAAGAAAATGGTTCTATATAGAACCATGAACACTCAAAGAACCCTCTGCATGATTAAAGGTTCTTTGCATAATGAAAGGGTTCTTTGGATTGATGGAGAATGTGCTGTAAATGGTTCTATAGAGAACCTTTTTAAAAATGGTACTATATACCACCCAAAAGGGTTCTTCTATTGTTAGGATGCCAAACTTGTAATAATAGAAGAGCCCTTTTGGATGCCACATAGAATCATTTTCAAAAAGGTTCTATATGGAACCATTTTCTTTACTAAACAACTCTTGAAGAACCATCTTTTTTTAGAGTGCAGAATAGAGCACTTCACAAGAAACCACTCTGACCCACTTTATTTACATCTTAATGATTTAATTATGCAGAGCTCTTGAAAAATCAGTGAAATTCTTCTTTAATTCTAAGGGATAACAAAAAATGGTCATGTAGACTTAAAATCACACAAACATTGTAAGTGGACTCATTAAAATACTTGAAAGACGTAGAATATGGGCTCTTTAAGATGGTTGAGTGCACTGTGCCTCACCTTGCCTGACGTACTCCTCTGTCTCATGGTGTACGAGCTCAGCCACACAGCCCCCGTAGCGCAGCCGTCCTGCATCCTGCTCATAGGCTTTGAGCGTCTCGCTGGAGCTGTAGGATTTCTGGGTGGCTACGCAGCACTCGTCTGTGTCCAGCGAGGATGTGGCATAGTGCTGCTCCTTCCTGCACCTGCCCCGTGTCAGAGAGCGGTGACGCCTCTCCTTCATGTCCATCACGGCGGGGAGCCAAACAGCTCAGTGGAATGCCAGTTGTATTGATCACCTGGAAGAACAGAGGAGCAGAAAGAAAACACAGTCAGTGCAGAAGACTTAAAACAATGATTCAGTTACACTTTTGCTCTTACTCCATATTTAGACCGTCAGCTAACAAGTAGCGAAAGCGTCAGTCATCCTATTAGCATGTTGCTTAAAAAGGCCTTTATTCTTAAATTAATATACACTTCGCTTAAACCGCATCAAGTTACTAAGTTATCTCAAATAGACTTGCTAATGTGTTTTACGACACTGTATAACATAATATTATCTACTAAAACGGACAAAAGTGTTGGCAAAAAAAGTGTCAGGCTTTAGGATAGCTATTGTTCCTAGCTAATGTACTCTTGTAAATTGTTGCTGTCAAAACAAAATCTCAATTTATGTCATGTAATTTAATATTTATTTATTTATTTTTCACAGAACATGGAAATGCCAGGTGTCCTTCACATTATGTGAACATTTCACGATTAGCGGACCAAACGAAATGCTCCAAAAGTACTTGGATTAACTTCCCTTTAACTTCCATTCAAAGTTAAGAATATTTTTTTCCCTTTCCTTTAAAGTTACCATATGAGGAAACTAATTTGGCTCGAAATTATAATTAAAATATGCATTAGGTGGAGCTATTTTGCAATATTTAAATCATAGTTATACAGCATTAAAAGCATTCTGCAGTAGCTGCCTGTAAATGAAGCAAATACAGCAGTGCAAACAGTGAGTTAACAGGTTTAGATGAAGCTTTGCAGCTATCTGTAATGCAAATTGATGGGGGTCATTACACAATAAAAACATCCTCTAAACATCATCATCCAAACACAAACAGAACCTGCTGACTGCAGATCAAGCCCAGACCGAGACACAGCAGCAGGGGGGAGGAGAGCTGAGGCACACTCACAATTTTATTATCACCCACAGAGAGGGAGAAGGAGGGAGGGAGAGAGGGAGAGAGCGAGAGAGAAAGAGAGATGGCCATCCGCCCTCTTTGACACCCTCCTACTCTGCATCTGTGGCTTGGTGTTGAGTCATCACCAGCAACGCTTATCAAAAATTTGGTCTTTGGCTGAGCACACAAAATCCACTCGCAGTCCACGAACAGCATTCAGTCAAACACTGTATGTCTTACATGTTGGTGGTTTATGAAAAACTGATTATGGTGAATTTATTGCATGACATTACATATCTTTTTTTTTTGTTTTTTGGTAGGCCAAAGTGCTGTTTGTTGTGGGCTGAGAGGCAAAAAGACAAAATAATTGCAAAATAAATATAAATAAACAATGTACATTTCAAAAAGCTATAAAACATAGAACATTATGCTATTTTATTACTAAAATACTTAAAAAAAAACAAGTGTCATGTATAGTATAAAAATATAGACCATCCATCTGTTTCTCTGCATACTTTGTTAGCCCCCTTTTACCCTGTTCTTCAGTGGTCAGGACCCCCATGGACCCTCACAGAGCAGGTACTATTTGGGTGGTGGATCAGTCTCAGCACTGCAGTAACACTGACGTGGTGGCGGTGTGTTAGTGTGTGTTGCACTGGTCTGAGTGGATCAGACACAACAGTGCTACTGGAGTTTTTAAACACTGTGTCCACTCACTGTCCATTCTATTTGACACACCTACTTTGTCAGTCCACCTTGTAGTCAGAGACGATAGCTCATCTGCTGCTGCACAGCTTGTGTTGGTCATCCTCTAGTCCTTAATCAGTGGTCACAGGATGCTGTTCGCTGGATATTTCTGGTTGGTGGACTATTCTCAGTCCAGCAGTGACACTGAGGTGTTTAAAAACTCCAGCAGCACTGCTGTGTCTGATCCACCAGCGCAACACACACTAACACACCACCACCACGTCAGTGTTACTGCAGTGCTGAGACTGATCCACCACCCAAATAGTACCTGCTCTGTGAGGGTCCATGGGGGTCCTGACCACTGAAGAACAGGGTAAAAGGGGGCTAACAAAGTATGCAGAGAAACAGAGGGACTACAGTCTGTAACTGTAGAACTACAAAGTGCACCTATATAGTAAGTGGAGCTGATAAAACGGACAATGAACGTAGAAACAAGGAGGTGGTCATAATGTTATGCCTGATCAGTGTATGTTCAATAGGTACTCTTACTGAATAAGGCGTTGGGGCTAGGGTAACTTTCTGGCAGGCCAAATCAAAAGGCCTCATCAGCCAACTTTGGCCAGCCCTGCCCTATACTTTACTTTCTGTATGTGTATGTGTATTGCACGGTATTGTGTATCTGTTTGTCCTGTTATGAACTCTGTGTGTATTACGTTTTGTGTTGTTGGCAAATATGTATTATACAATCATCAGTTAAGGCTATCAATTTTGATTGTTGTCACAATAACTGTGAGCAATCCTGTCTCTGAGCACCAGTTGATAAATAACAGCTAACTAACGCTGCAGCTAACTGTTACTAATTTTTACCTACATTAGATACATTAGACAACTTATAAGATAACATTTGCAGTTCTGATCGGATTCTGAAGAAGAGTGTAACAGCAGGCCGACATCAAAGTCTGAACCTGTTGTTACCTCTTCAAGAAACCTTTTCAGTCAGCAGCTATGACAGAGGAGCAACTAAATAAAGTGGAATTTACCAGAAATAAACAGAATACAATTCGGCAAACAGGATGGGCAGTCAACTGGCTGGAGTACAATGACATTCATCTGACAAATACTCGAAAAGCTGAGCTGAACCTGATACTGCAACAGTTTTATGGTCTTATAGCATCAGTAGTTTACTTGGAGTTTACTGCGCGCAGGTCTCAATAGGTATGTTAAATAACCCCACTCGTTCCTGTGAACTACTTTAGTGGCGGAAGGAATTGCTAATATTAAAACATATTTTATACAGTGTTTGGGATTCTTTGCTTTACCCTTTATTTTGCAGAACTGTTGTACAAAAGCTATAGAACACTGTCTGTCTACCTAATTATCTATCTATCTGCTGATTTAGACTTATTGTGTAAATATGCAAATGGGAAGCAAAGACAAACCATCTTTTATGGAGTACAATTTATTTTCTCTGCCGTTTGACAATTTGCATGTTGATAATGCACATTTTCCATTTTTCTCCCTTCTCAATGTAGTCTTTGCCAATTCCACCAGCTAGCTAGGTCTCCTCCATCACACCATGCTAAAGAGTTAGGAGGAAGAAGGCCAGCACGTTTCCTCAGAGACATGAGAAGCACCACCACATCTTTTCAAACTGCTGCTGCTATAAAATCATTGGACAGCTCAACACGTTTGGAGAGAACGCTAATTGTCAATTCTGTTACGTTAGCTAACAGACGCCTCCACTGGCAGACAACATGTGAGCGATGGGGGCGATGGAGACCCCTCCCATTAAGATAATGTGTATTTTAAATTCTCCCAGCAGTTTTTCTTACAGTAAAGAGAGTCTGATGCACTCATCTATTTACATACATTTAAATTTACAAGTTTGTTTTTTAATACGTTATTTAAAAAGTTTCCCAGTTTACATGTTTCCAAAAAGGTATTTTTTGAAAAAACATGGTTTGTTATTGTTTTGTCCATTTTTATTTTTTTATGTTTGTTTGGCCTTTACTCAGTTAAACTTTTTTTTTTTTAGTTGTATCTCCAACAGTTAGGACTTCCCCAATACGATACCACCAGTGCTAGGAGGGCGAAGGCTGGCACAGGTTTCCTCCAAGGCCTGTGCGAACTGCCGCTCGCGCAACGTCATTGGACAATCAAAAGGCACCTGTAGGAAAGTGCCAGCCACTAGATCTGTTGACTAGCATTGCACTGGTTAATGGGGGAGAGGGAGGGGCCATCCTACCCACCCAGAGAGCAAGGCTAATTAACCTTTTAACTGCAGCCCCACATTTACCTGAAACGGCACACCCAAAGTTAAAGGAGTACCATTCCCACGTACTTTGGAGTATGATCTCAGTCTCAAGTTTTTTTTTTCCAATAGTAAGAGTTTATATTCATCTGACTCACAGATCACTAAACTGATCTCTGACTCTTGTCGTGTTATCAAGACAACCTGTTTTGGATTATGATGTGGATAGCACCAAGGCTTTGAAGGTATGAACCCAAAGATTTCTTAGTGTTTGCTCATTTGTTGCTTATGTTTCAAATGAGATGACCGTTACTGCTGTGATTAGCAGATCATAAAATGGTTTGTGGGACTCGAATCCTGAGACTTCAAGCTTATTAACAGTACACTGCATCATCATATTGCTGAAAGATTAGATGCATAAAAATGATCTACAAAAAACCTGAGAAAGAACGCTTCGACAGTGTGCCGGTACCGGTACAGTGATCTACAAAAGGTTAAAATAACTGACAAACGACTGGATTATTAATATAATCGACCGTGACAGCCCTAGTCTCACACAGTGAAAGGAAGAGGGTGGTGCTAGTGGCCGCCTTGTTCGGCTGAGCTGAAAATATCTTTGTAGTGCTTTAAGTGTTTGCTTAGGACACAGATGTCTGCGTTCAGTTAAACACTCAATCAGCAGTATTCAGTCGCTAAAGAACCGATCTATTATTCGTGCTTGATATTTACCAGCATCAAACAAAGGCTAATCAATGTGCAACCAAGGCAGTGAAAAGCAGCACTGTAATTGCACTGAGCGAACAGACATCAGGCTCTGCCCAGTCAATACTCTCAATGAGGACTCAGACATGTTTACATAGGGGGAGGCACTTCAGTGATGTTCATTGATTGGCAATTGATATTTACATAAATAAATGCTACAGTTGCACATGGAACATGCTAACGAAGCAAACTATTTATGCTTCACAACAATAAGCAGGCAAGATATGTTCACTCTGAATCTGCGGTCAGTTGAGGAACAGTGGCCTGGACCCTGTGCCAGATAAAGCAAAACACAGAACCTGTTAAAGGTCTGGACACATATGATTGATTGTATGTTTGTTGTGATCGAAAAGACATTTCAAGCTAAAGGCAAATGCAAATGCTTAAACTTTGTTTCTAAGGGAATTGTAGATGATAATACTGA